CAGGATTGGAGAAAGACTCATTAACAACCTGTGATATACAAATGATACAACCTTGTTTGCTAAAAGCAAAAAGGACTTAAAATACTTACTGATGAGGATCAAAGACCGCATCCTTCGGTATGTGTTGCACCTCAGCGTAAAGAGAACAAAAATCCTCACCTCTGGACCAATAAATAACATCCATATAAATGGAGAAAAGATTGAAGCTGTCATTGTCAAAAACTTCATTTTGCTCGAATCAACCATCAATACTCATGGAAATAGCAGTCAAGAAATCAAATAACATATTGTATTAGGCAAACCTGCTGCTCAAGATCTCTTTGAAAAGTATTCAAGAGCCAAGATGTCAGTGCACCTGAGCTAAGGACTAAAGTGCACCTGAACCAAGCCATGATATTTTTAATAACCTCATGTGCACATGAAAGTTGGACAGTGAATATGGAAGACCACAGAAGAACGGATGCATTTGAGTTATGGAGTTGGAGAAGAATATTAAAAGTACCATGGACCACCAAAAGAACAAACCAATCTGTGCTGGAGGAAGTTCAGCCAGAATGCTCCTTGGAAGCCAGGACGGCCAGACTTGGTCTCTCATACATTGGGCATATTATCAGGAAGGACCAGTCCCTGGAGAAAGATATCATGGTTGGTAAAGTGGAAGGTCAGAAAAAAGAAGAAGACCTCAATGAGATGGATTGGCACAGTGGCAGCAGCAATGGGCTCATATGCACCAACAACTGAGGTTTTTGCAGGACCAGGCAGTGTTTCGTTCTGTTGTGCGTAGTAGGGTCGCTATGAATCAGTACCAACTCGATGGCACCTAACAACAACAAAGACATTGTAACACTTACCTGTGCAGGGCAGAGGCTAAGCTAGCTAAAGAGCCAAGGAAGTCAAAGGCCAGGGCTTACGTGCCAGTGGCCATGGCCAAAAAGCTATCCTGACAGAAGTACTGTACCCTGAGTCATTTCTAATCCTGAATTCTAACCTGTTACATCCCTAATAAACCCATAACTGCGAGCATGGCCTTGAGAGTACCATGGATGGATGGATGGTGTAAAAATTACCGAAAAGGTTGGTGGATGGTAAAGGTTAAGTCTGACCCCTACCTCAAAGCAACGAGACTTGGGCTTTTGATGTGGATTCTCTCTCACATGAAGTTACAGGAGGTCTGATGCCCCATGCCATTCTTACACAGTCCTCCCATCAAACATGTCATGCTAATTTTTCACAACATGCCAAAAAAAAAAGCAGGTGACATGTAATTTATGTAAAAATATAGTAGTAAGGACAAAATGGTGTATATATTTTATTAGTTTTGGTTGTATCACTAATATACAGGCTGATTTATAAAAATAATAATTAAGATGATAAGAGCTAATTCACTTATACTTTAAAATGCCAGGCACTATTTAAAGTACTAAACATGAATTTATTCATTAAGTAACTCCCAACAGCCCTATAGAGAAAGTATCACTGATATAGTGTGTTGTTAAGTAGATTCTGACTCTCAGGGACAGAGTGAAACTGCTCCACAGGTTTCCTAGACTACAGTACTTACACGTGAAAACCACCAACTCAGATCGTTAGAGAAAGTACCACTATTACCTTATTTTACTAATTAGGAAAATGAGGGTTCTCATAGCTAAGTAAGTGACAAAGTTAAGATTCAAAGCTGGGCAGCAGATTTCAGAGCCCATCCTTTTAACCATTACACTAGTAACTATAGCCAAGCCAAACCAGTTGCCATCAAATCCACTCCAACTCATGTGTCAGAGGATTTGATGTCAGAGGAGAACTATAACTGTGTTCCACAGGGTTTGCAATGGCTGTGACTTTTCAGAAGTAGATCACCATTACAGTATACTGCCTCAAGAATGAGTCACCAATCTTAAAGAACAGTTAGACAGTTTTGGTACACTCTAACAACACATGGAAGCTTAGTGTGGCACTGTGGGTTAATGTGCCAGACTGCAAAGCCGTTTGAACGGCAAGGTTGGCAGTTCAAGCTCACCAATTGCTCCTCGGAAACCCTATATAGGGTTGCTATGGGTGTGAACCAACTCAATAGCACTTATCAACAACAATGACATGAATATTTTTTATTTTACTATGGAAAAATTTTAAATCTACAATTTTTATTTCACTATTTGAAAAGAAAAAAAAATACCTTTGGGGGTTAAAATAAACAACAACAACAACAAACCCACTTGTTTTTTGCCAGCTATGATCCCATACATACTTATCATTTGCCTAATATGCTACAGCTTTCAGCAAGATCTGACCTCTTCTTATTTACTTCCAAACTCAGTTTAACCCTAAGAAGTTTCTTCCAAAACTCACCTACCAACATTTTCATGATCTTCAGGGTCTCCAACTGGTTCCAACCCATCTCTAATGACTTCAAGTACTAGGTTTTTCAGACGCTAATAAATCAAGGCTAGGGACAATCCAATGACCTCCATGACAATCTTTTATATAAAACATACCTTTAAGTCAAATGTCATCTTTTTATTCTTGTTAACATAAAATTAAAACAAACTCAACTACGTCTATGCATTACCCATTCAGGCAGTCACAGACCTGAATTAATATTTGTGCAGTATTCTCCATTACCTAGGCTGAGAATTCTCCTCATACATTCTTTCTTTCCCCTCCTTGAAGAGGCTTATGGTCTGCTTAGTTTTCTTCATCAAATTCTCCATGAACACCCTAAAATACTCATTTTCTCCAAGAGTTTCCATCTTCCCCTCATATCTTGACAAGATAGTACGGAGATGCTGGTAGGTATCTGGCAGCAGGTCTAAGATATAAGGTGGGCTATTCTTTAGCGCCAGCTTTGGGTTCTGACACAACCGCACCACCTGTAACAAATGGAAAAGAAGGGCTATTACTTGGAGGCTCTTAAGGACAATTTCCATTTTTGAGTTAAAAAAAAAAGTTATAAAATACGTGTTCTTTTGTAGAAATAGATAAAATAAGAACTCATCCACAAATGCCACTGTCCACAGGTAATCATTTTACATTTGTATTAATTCCCCCTAGATGAGTGGGTGCACAAAATCCTGTGGGAGAGTGACATCACAGAAGACAGAGGAGTAGGAGGCTTCATAAACCAGTCCCTCCACCAAAACATCTACTAAGCTGGCAGAAACTATCTGAATCAATCAACTATTTTGGAATTCTGGAGTCTAGTGGAACATTTGTAGCAACAGAGGAAAGCTCAAGGAAGAGGTTCATAAATTTCAGTAAAAACTGTAATAAATTTTGTACAGGGTCTACAATCAACCAGGCTACAGCGTGCAGGCATGGGGACGGAGGTCTGTGTTCCTGTTGAGGCACACTGGTTACAGGGTAAGCAATAGAGACCTTGTCCTTTAAAAACCAGGGTTGTGTGTTCTGGTTGCTAATCACTGCTTTTAATTGTTAAGGAGCTGACACTGAGGCTGGACATTTGTCGACCCCATGAACTTAAATGGTTTCCCAGGTAGCCTCTGTTGAGAGGATTTTTTTTTCTCCTTTTCCCTTTTTGGAGCTACACACTTACAGAAATCTTTATCAGGTCACTGACTGACCACAAAGATGACAAATAGAAACTTCAGTGACCATACCCAATAAAGATTATACTTTGCAAAAATACTTTAGAAAAATCACAAATGGATAACTTCAGTTCTCAACAACGGAAAAATCAGAAATCCCTGTGGAGCATGATAATTAGATTCCCAGAGTTATCAAAACATAGTACTCAGAATGTCTAGCTCTCAACAAAAAAATTACAAAACATACAAACAAAGAGAAAGGCATGGCCTATTACAGGATTTAAAAAATGGAGAGAAACAAACCCTGACAAAGCTCAGACACTGGAATTATTAGTCAAAGATATTAAATCAACTGTCTTAAATATGTTTAATGAACTGAAAGAATTCGTGGGCAAAGAATTAAATGAAAGTCGAAAAATAATGAACAGAGTCTGACGGACCTGTGGAGCACCATCAAGTGTACCAGGAAGATGACTCAACCTACTGGGCTAAAACAATGGTCAGGCCCCTTAGCGTTCAAAAAATAGTGATCAGCAACTTAAATGTCTGTACTATAGGAGTCTCAGAAGAAGAGAGAAAAAAGGGAGTCCAAAAAAAAAAATTTTTTTTAAAGAAATATTGTTTGAAAATTTCAAATCTGAAGAAACTGATGAATAAACACATCCAAGAAGCTCAAACTCCAAGCAAGGTAAGCAACGATACACACTGAGATACATCATACTCAAACTGATGAAAACCAAAAGTCAAAGAGTAAATTTTGAAGGTAGCAGACTTAAATTATTTATCATACACAAGGGTTCCTCTATAAGATCAACACTGATTTCTCCTTAGAAACCATAGAGGTCAGAAACAATGGAATAGTATATTTAAGGCCCTGAAGGGAAAAAATACTGTCAGCTAAGTATTTAATTAATATCCAGTAAAACTACCCATCAAGAGTAAAGGATGTCCACCCCCCCCATCCAAAAAAAAAAAAAAAAGCTAAAGAGGATAGA